TAATATCCGCTGATACAGAAACTCCGGGCGGCACGCCCTTTGCTGTCTCATAGTTCTGGTTTACCGAAGTTGCATACTCGCTTCCTAGCGCTCTTTCTTTGCACCTACGACTTACGTCGTTTGCAAGCTCCAAGCAATCAGGAGATACCACGACAGTAAGTTCTGACGAAATGATAGCTGAGAAGCTGTCGAGTCTTCCCTGTTGGCTAGCTCCGTAACTCTCATGCCCAAGCGATCTGGCTTTTCGAGAACGTTTCAGGTAGATCCACCAAGCCAGTTCCAGTTCTTGGCGTCCCGTTAAAGTCCCGAAGGACGCCATTGGAAGAGATGACAAATCTAGAAACCAAGGTGACACGTCGCAACCGCTTGCTTCTGATTTCTTTGCGACCCGCTGCGCTTGCAAAGAGGAAACGCGGGTGTCCCAAATATTCGGTCTAGATTCCGAGACAACTTCCAAAGAGGTTTCTACAATTTCTGCTACGCTTCTCATCAGACCAATATCATGATACGAGCCTTGATGGTTTCCTTTCCCAGCCAAGATTGCATGTGCGACCTGAGCTTTGAGTGTAGCCTCATCGACCCATGTTGTTAGCTTCCCGCTGAATGAAGTTAGTACATTTAGAGAAAGATACGGAATATGAAGCCTTGACCGGGACGCAAACTCTTCTGTAGCCATGCTCGATGAACAGAATCGAAGACCTGCGGAAGCTTGAAGCTCAGTGACGCCAGCCAAGACATTAGGAACATATCTGTTTTTGTACTGATTATTGCTTCCCCGGGCTCTTTGGATCACCGATAACTGACCTGAACGACCTGAACTTTCAGAAAACGCCGCACTTGCCACGGATAGGATCAGAATATCGATTTTCTCAATGATGATATCAATGTTGTACACTGCAAGCATTGCAGCGATAGCTACTTGATCTTCATAGACGGGCTCCGGCAGCAATGCCATCGCTATGCGAGATAGCGAAAAGAGGTCTTCATCCATTATACAACCGTGTACTGTCCCACTTTGAACTTCAAGAACCGCATAATATGCTCCACTTTTCGGACATGACCTCACCCGCTTCCTTACTTTAAAGCTTTCAATTATAATTTTCGGCGACGCTTGCCCTTGAAATGTGTGACGTGAATCTCGAGAACTTTCCATGGTTTCGCCTCCGTAAACTGATTGTAGGACGAGAGGTTGATGGTGTTTAGGGGCAAGCTCTAGATGCGCACCGAGCCGATTCGATCGCAGCAACCCCCCGAACTCTCCTGATACTATCGAGAAAGTTTGGCCACTCGCACTGTGGAATTGGCAAAGGGCATGCGGAAGGAGGTGCAACCGCACAACGAGAGATTCCGCGTCGAACCTTAGAGATAATAAGTCATCCATAGAGTGGATGAGAGATTTCGGAGAGATCGCGTTTGAAAGCCCAAGAATCATACATTCATCTGTGGAGGGATATCGGAATCCGTCCACAGCAGCCCGCGATATGCTCTTTCTTTGAAGATGCAATTTTGTCCGTTCGCCAACAGATAACGTATGGTTGCCAGTACCAACATAATTTCTTACCAGGCTTAGGAAATGTGAAATGTGATGTGGATTGATGTCCATTGTCAATGACGAAGCTTTTAAGTTAATATCAGTGGTGTTCACGGAATCAAGAAATGCTGGCGTTTCCGGCTGCAACACTGAGTGGTGTTCATTCACCAAAACTTTCCCAGTGATGAGGCAAACTTTACCAGTTTGCAGTACTTTGACAGTAATGAAGTCGCATGGTTTCTTCAAAGAGATCGAAGGTTCCCGGGGCAGTACAGTACTAAGTTGACTTCGAACTCTCTGAGCAAGAGACGGTGCACGCCCTTTGTACTGCGGGGAGCGATACGAGTCCGATGCTCTGTAGACCCGGTGACCATCTTCAGTTTCGTCTGCTTGCCCCGGCTCGTCATGCAACGGCATCTCTATTTCACCAAAACATTCAGGAAGCGAGAGGCTCCAAGAAAAAACGCTGGCCGTCGGAATGTACTCCGTCGGGACACTCGGCGATAGCAGCATCTCGCCGCACTCCCCACGTATTTTTATCCTTCCCAAGTTATCTCCTTGCCGTGACTTAATATCTTCCCACGCATTATCGTCTCCTTGCCGTGACTTAATATCTTCCCACGCATTATCGTGACTGCACGCCATCACCACAGTGTAGCTGCCTTCAGCTCGTATTCTCACGGTCTCTTTAAAAGGGATGAAATATCGAATATCGAGTGGCTTCCTGCGTTTTTCAGCCATCGTACTGCTCAAATCTTCAAAAATTCGATGCGTATCAGGTACAAAAGTGTAGTCCAAGTCTTTCATCGCCATTTCGACAGCAGATGTCTGAATATCGTTCCAAACCAGTGGGTGCTGCAGAGTCCTTGTAATAGTCACTTGTCTTGATTTACAGATCGGCATATCAACAACTCCCACAGTTCGGGCAGTGCAATGCGTTCCAACGACAACAATTTTCTGCTGGGAACCTGCATTGAAGGGGAATTCAGTCTTTAAAGAGATGTGACTGGCATGAATTAAGAATGAGCTTCCAGGAAGCGATTTCTTACTTTCCTTTGAGCTTCGTAATCCGTCTGATAGATTGTCATCCCACTCCCGTACATTCATGGTCGTCAACCCTTTCCACGTGGCGGGTTGTGGATCAAACCGAATCGCTACAACAGGAGGTTGCTCGGCCGCCGTAGTAGGCTTAGCCTGCTTTGCGTCACTAGGTGCCATATCAGCTGGCGTAGCATCGATTTCAACCTGGATGCCAGTCGCCTGTCGCTTTCCGTCGCCAGACCGCAATTTGGTAGAAAGGGCTGCGAGATGATACAAGGACGGCTGCAGCCGTTCAGACAGCCTCTCCATGTCTGCCATAGCTTTCATATCATACGAGAAGCTGGCACCTCGCAATACTATTGACAGTCGGCAAATCGGCGCCGTGGTAAACCCGGAGTCTTCAGTAGCCGCTTCGAATGTATTGGTTGAGGTATGGTGACCACGTGCATGAGACGCTCGAGGTCGAATAAATCCTGGCTCATCAAACACGTAGTATGCCACTGCAGTCTTACAGGAAAGCACATCGGAACAAGTCAAATCCTTTTGCTTACCAGCCTCCCGTGTCTCAGCTCTTGACCGTAGATGAAATGGCTGCCTGCCTTCTTGTGATTCCTGGCCTCGCTGCAGAGTGGACCCTGAACCGGAGCTCACTCCCACACTCCGTGGTCTTTTCTTCGGCGACTTGCAAGTGGGGGAGCGAACAGACTGATTGAGCGCGCGGTAGCCGTCGTGCAGGACGCGGCGTAGCATTCGATCGGTGTTGTCCGGGACGCCTTGCTGTGACATAGAGAGCGGCTCTTCATGCGGGTGGGCGATGGCCTGGACGGCGCGACGGTCAGCGATGCTAATTTTGAGGCCTGACAGCCTCAGGCGGATGCGCTTGCGAGAAATATCGATGGGGCAGGCAGGGGCGCCGTAGCAGTAGCGGACCTTTGCGAAATCGACGACAACGCGGACGAGGGGCGACTGGGCCATGTCGCAGATGTAGAACGCGCCTGTGGTGATGCGCAGCGAGACGAGTTCCAGCAAACGATGCCGAAACGGCTTGGCGGCTACAGGCTCCACGGCGGCATCGGACGAGGAGACGGACATGTGCCTATGCGAAGAAGCGTCGGGGCCCTGGCGCACATGCGCGGGGTCGTCCGCGGACAAATCGTCGACGGGGACATCGAAGTCGGTGGAGCTCTGCGGTGTGCGCGGGCCGCCCTGAGGTCGCGCGTCGTTGGCCATGTCCAGGACGGTCTGGACGTGCTTGAAGTGGGCGGAGTTGTTGACGATCCTTGCGCGGACGCCGACGCAGACGAGGGAGATGAGCGGGGCGAGTTCCTTGGCGACGGTGGGATCGGGGGTGTGGGAGGAGCGATGCCAGGCTGTGCGGAGCTTGTAGAAGAGGCGTTTGAGGAAGTTTGCGTTCTTCTCGCGCGCGGTCTGCTGCTGTGCGTGGGCGACGGGGTCGAGCTGGTGCAGGTCGTTGAGGGCGAGGAAGTTTTGCAGGCCGATGGCGGGGGGCTTGCGCCACCAGCGGGCCTGCAGGACGAGCTCCTCGACGGAGACGGTGGCGTCGGGCAGCGTGTAGACGAGCGAGTGGGCGACGACGCGGCCGGCGAGAGGGTAGATGTGCAGCACCGGGACCGAGACGTGGAAGGCGTTGCGCGAGGCGCGGTTCGCTAGGAAGGAGAGGA